TATATATATATATATATATATATAGGGTCACGCTCCGGTGAGAATGACCCTTAATGCGAGAAATAAGAATAAATCATAGCCATAAGATCAGATGATCTAATGGATAAAAAAAAATCAAAATTATACATTCGTTAAGGACATTGTGATAATTTTACACACTACTCAAATTGGTGGGTCCTACCTCACATTAAAATAATGCCACCTACCCTACCCACTAGTCAAACACCCCACGTCCCCATCCGACCCCCACCCCAACCCATTCTCTATCTATCACACACACAGAACACACATTCAAGTTCAACACTCCCGTCGGCAGCTATCCGCCGCCGCCAGAAGCTCGCCGTCTGCCACCACTCATCTCACATGTCATACGAACAGATGCAAATATGCATAACCACACACAATATCACGCCGGCGATTTTTCCGTCGCCATTGCCGCTCCTCAGTAGCCACCGCCGTGCCCACCATCACGGCGAACATAAATACCACCGCTGCAACATAATCATCGACAAAGCCGTCACGGCACGACCCGACACTACCGCGGCGGGGGGCTGAGAAATTTTCACGGCCATTGAGTTCCTAGCCATTTATGGCTTCGATCAACGAAATAGGCTGTTGTAGGGTGCCGCCGAGTTCGACGCCACCACTTTTATCTTCTCCCTGTGAAGCGGCAGCAACATTGTTGATGGATATGGAAGAGTAGATGGAGAATATTGTGGGGTTTTTTTTGTGTAAATTAGATAAACAATAGGGACCTATATGCAATTTTTTAAGTTTTGTATATTGCATTATGAGACTTGGGTAATTTTGCAATTTACCAAATTATTAATGATTGAATAATAATGTATAGCTCAATTTTGCTGGATGCTCTGCTCCCAAAAAAAGAGTAGACTTTGGTAAAGCAGAATAGGCTGAGTAGGTGGGCAGTATTTATTATTGAGTGTAGAAACTAGAAGTGCACATTAACAAATATCAATATATTAAATGTTAAATGCAATATTATATAATAAACATATTAAATATTATATGAAATGCACATAAGTGTAGAAATGTACATTAAAATATACTAATATTTATACATTCAATATAATATAATATTGCACTTTATAAAATAACACGTCGCACTTGATAAAACATCATGTTGCACTTTATCATCGCTCTTTACGATTAATGTCAACAACTCTCGACAAAATATTACACAATATAAATATAAAAAACGGATCGACCTAATAATTTACTATCCACCACATCATATATCCGACAAAAGAACAAAAGCATGTTAACATATCAGAATTTCAGTATTACACTTTATACATAAATACATTGCACTTTATACAACAATACATTGCACTTTATAACACAACGTGTTGCACGTACCAAAATTACAATAATTCTAATAATCGATCGAATAATATTAGTTGGTTAATGACGGATTTAGTTTTTTTTTTTAAATAAATAAAATATCCAAACAAGTCGAACTCTATGAAAAAATATTATTTTTATATTTTGTATGTGCACACTAGGGTTATACGGATTGCACATAAATGTCTATCAGATTGCAATAAAATCAAACGATATTTTATTTATTTAAGTTAATTCAATGTCCAATTATTTCTATTAAAAATATTTTTTCGAGAACACATAATTTATCTAGTAAGGTATAAATTAGTGAAATTTATAAATCAAAATGTTTTCCTTTACAAAACATCACACTGCACTCTATAACAGAACACGTTGCACTATATCAACACATTCCACAATTAATGTCAGTAGTGGCATATGGTGATAACCGCTTCTGACACACGCACTGTGTGTGTACGGACGGGCAGGCCTGGGCACCTTTGGGCAGACAGCTCATCAAATCCGGGTAGCCCCTAGGTCAGGTATCTCACCCCTATATATATAGGGTTGAGCTTTTCTTGTTGAGCACGATTCATCCATTTTTACTCTTGAGATTTAAGTAGAACAAACACTGACTTAAGCATCGTAGGCTCTTCACCGGAAAACCCCTCCGGTGTGAGAGTTCTTTGCAGGTACGCGGCGTTCTACCATCGAGGAGGAAGGAGGCAAACCGATTTCCAGCCGGTCTAAGGTTGTTTGAGCTTGGTGGCTATGGCGGACAGAATTCCCATAATCAATTTGCATCCGTTGTTCGACGTTCGATGAAGCTTGGACGATGACGAGGCTGTTCGGAGAAGGCCCTCCTCCGGGTTTCTCTGAACCTTTGCAGACATCAGTGACCTCGACACCTGCTCCTCAAGGTTTGGATGCTCCATCGGTGGTTCCAAGAGGAGATGTGGGTTCGAGCCGTGCTCGAGAGGCTCGTGCGACGCAAGGGACGGTGATTCCAGTGCCGTTGCAACCAGATCTGGCCAGGATTCAACCGTTGAAAACGGTGGTGCAGGTAGCAGCACCACCGCGAGTGGAGGAGCAGCGCCCTAGTCAGAAAGTGGTGTTGACTAGGCAAGAGATGCAGCAGTTGGTGGCGGACGCGGCTGCACAGGCGATGTAGCAGGTTACGAACAACATCTCTCGAGCGGCTACTGCACCAACCACAGTGGCGGGTGCACATCATAATGCGTAAGAAGGACGTGTCTAGTTATGGAGGAGAAGGAGCCCCTTAGGATCAGAAGATGGAGAGGATTGTCGAGCAGCTGCGTCAATTGCAGGCCAAGGTGGATGGTCGAACAGAGAGGTGTTCTCGAGGAATTAATTTATTTGTAGCGCCCACTTACTTAACTCTAGAAAATGCTAATATTTTCATAAATAATTTGAACTTTTCAACTAAAACATTTCTGGGTCAAGTACTAACAACTCTTTCGTTCGAAACTATCTAAAAACTTATCTTCTTTTCTTTCTATTTAACTCGACCCAAGTCTCACACTTGGATCCTAAGAAAACTAACTCCTAAAACAATTTAAGACAAACAGAGTACTCGAATATAAATACTTAGTCTTAAATTGAAATCTCATAATTCTCAAAACAAACTCAATATTTCAAAACAACTCTAATCTAGATCACAAAGCAGGAAATAATAACATGGTTTGTGAAATGTTAGCGAAATGAACTCAACATAAAATAAACGACTACCACCAGCCATCCAGTGCCCACTTGTGGGGGGTGAGCAAAAAACTACCCCACCTAGAGCCTATACAACACAGATATTCAGGATAATTAACGGATACCATGAATGCTAACATGCAACACAAATATCTAATCTAGAAGCCATCTAATAGGCGCATCTCATCTCAACGCAGCCATCTAATAGGCGCAGCTTACCTCAATGCAGATCTCGCTGCCATCTTAGGCACGACTTAGCACAGTACAGTGGTCTCATAGGCACAGTCATCCAGCCGTCTAATAGGCAAAACATATAATCCGTGAAACACATAACAATCATAAATATAACATAAATTATAAAGAATACAGTAAGGCATAAACTTCCCCACCTGAATAATCGGAACTGAAGAAGTTGATGCTTCTATTGTAACACGAGGGCTCGACTCCTCGGAATCTACATTATCGAAGCATAACTTGAATAAATACTAATTCTTACTTGGTAAAATAAATTTACCAATTTGAAAATTTTTTAGCTTAAGGTTCATGACTTAGAAAATTTTATTAGATATTGTAACTCTCGAGTAGGACATTTTCATAATCTCGAAAAATGATTTTCGAAATTAAAAT